GAGAAGGATGCGGTCGAGCAGGAGGGAGAGGGAGGATGGAGGAGGAGGGAGGAGGAGGAGGAGGAGGAGGAGGAGGAGGAGGAGGAGGAGGAGGAGGAGGAGGAGGAGGAGGAGGAGGAGGAGGAGGAGGAGGGGGAGGGGAGGGAGGGAGGGAGGGGGGAGGGAGGAGGAGGAGGAGGAGGAGGAGGAGGAGGAAGAGGAGGATGCTGATGACGAGGAAGCGGTCGAGCAGGAGGGAGGGGAGGGAGGAGGAGGGTGATGGTACGGGGTGCACGGGCAGTGCGGGCACGACGGGTCGCTCCTCCCCTCGCGGCGAGGCAGCGCAGCTCGGCCACCGTCGTCGAGCTGTGAATCTTCGGCTCGATTTATGACGCTCCAACCTGTTTTAGCCTTGATCACCAGGAAGAGTTTCGAGCGCCAGAAAAAAAGTACCGAAACTCAAGGGTTTTCGCGTGCCGGACCCTGGGAGACACTCGCCCGACGCTGCTTCGACACTCTTTCGACACTCTGTTGACACTTTTCTGGGTGCTCGAAATTATTTCTGGGATGTGGCCCTTAAGTAAGTAGGATGGGAGCAACATATAAGACTCGATGTCTGCGACAGGAGCGGTCCCACCCGGGAAGCGCAGCGGGCGAAGTGAGGACGTGCAACAGGGCGACGCCGCTGGTGCCGCGAAGGCCGAGGAGGCGGAGCAGGCGTCCGCCGGCCTGCTGGGCCTCCTCCTCTCGGGGCGCAGGGAGCACGCTCCCCCCCGGCAGGCGCCGAGGCCGCGGCCGGCCCTTGTTGCCGAGGGACTCGGCAGTGCCGAGTCCCTCGGCACCAAATTGCCCCCTTGCGAGGGCGACGTGCACGTTCGAGAGGACGGCTGGCCTTTTCGGCGGCCGACGCACGGGCGGCGCACGGGCGACGAATGCGCGACGCACCTCTTGTCGCGAAGGGGGGGGGGGTCAGCACGCCGGTCGCTTTACTGGGCCTTATCACTCGGCAGTGCCACCAGCAGAAGCAGGCGCAAGCTGAGGTCCCCAGACGACTGTTGTCTGCGAGGTCGGCCCGAAGGCCGAGCCACCCCTTGCGGTCCCAGCGTGCAAGGTGTCTTGGTTGTTCTCGGGGCAGGTTGAGAGAAAGGAAGGCGCTGCAGTAGCGCTTCCAAGAATGACTTCAGTGAATGCTGATACCCATTGTGTCAGCTTCCAAAGAACAGCGTACGCTAAGCGTGCGAGGCCTGGGTGGGAGCGCCCAGGAAGCTGCTTGCGTCGGCGGCGAGGCAGGGGAGGTCTGCGCCAGGGGAAGCGGCCCAGACGGGGGCGCCGCGGTGGCGGATTGATCCGCCATGCGAGAGAGGGGGAGCAGGAGGAGGGCGCGGCCGAAAACGAGGGGGCAGACGCCCGGGACGCGCGCGCCTTCGCAGACGCGAGCGCGGGGTCTCGAGCCCACCCAGAGATCCGACGTCGCGATTTTTTCAATACGGGGTCCCCAGAAGTCTCGACCCATTCCCCGGGACCGGTTTCTCATCCTGAGTCGTTTTTTGACGGTCCCGGGGCCCAGCGAGGGCCCCTCGAGGCCGAAACATACGAAAAAAACCTCCGTTTTGATTTTCAATGCGTTGGATCTCTGGGCAGGATGCTTCGAGCCCTGCGGCTCCCCGCGGAGGCCCCTGGCAGAGCTGCGCGCCCGAGGCCTCTCTCGCGGACGTGGCAGACGAGAGGGGGCCGGGCAGGCCCCGGCCGGAGCCGGGCGCGGGAGCCGGTTGGCGCCCGTGGGGGGGGCCGAGGGCACGGGGGGAGCCGATGGCCGCAGCAAGACGCCTGCATGCGCTTCGCGCGGACGTGTTTGGCTCCTCGTTGGGCCGAAGGGGCGCGGGCCCTCGCACCCCCTCCCCCCCCCCCTCCCCCCCCCCATCAGGGGTGGGTCTTGGCTGTTTTTTGGGGGGCGCCTGTTTCGCGTATAGGTGGGTGGAGCCTCCCCCGGGGGGCGCACTGCTTCAAGCTGCCGCATCGGGCAGCCGCGGAGCCAGAGCCCGCCCCCTGCCCCCCCCCCCCTTTCCGCCCAATGTCGAAACGCCGAATGTAAAGACGTTCGCATTGGTGGGGGCAGCTGCTATCTGTCGAAACGCCAATGCTCGTCGCTCGTGGTGCGGGCATCTGCTATATTGAGCACCGCGAGGCTCGCGAAGTGGAGCATGCCGGACTCTGTCAGAGTGGCGCCAGTCGAGATCGGAGGGGGCGACCAGCGAACAAAAAATGAAGACGTTCACAGTGCGGTTGAGAAGGCTGGAGCGGTGGGGGCGGGGGGCGCCGACGCAGGAGGAGAGGCATCGACGCCCTCAGCCAGAGGCCGATCAATTCCCAAACGGCGCCCTCCCCTATTCCAGACACAGCTGCATGAGTTCAGGGGGCAACTGAACGTCGAGAACGACGTGCTTCGTGCCCACGAGCTCCTCCGAATCAGGTTGCTCGAGCTCGCCAGCAAAAATGCTGACACCTACTGTGCTACTTCTCCGCCAACAGGCTTGCCAACGAACATCCCGACACAAATCGAGGTGGTCCTCGGACGCATTCCAAAAGTTTAACTCCACGTTTGGCCCATTTGGCAGCCATTCCTCGTGATCCGACGTGGCTGAGGCTCCAATGAGCAACAACTTTCACAACACTGGTTTGACTGGCGATGCCTTTCCACAGGTCACGCCACGTTGCCTATCCCGAGAGCTGCACTCGAATCCTGGGCACATCAAAGAGAGCCTGCACAGTCAGTGTGCACAACAAGCGGCTTCACGAGGAGGAGGAGGACGAGGAGGAGGAGGAGGAGGACGAGGACGAGGAGGGTGAGGAGGAGGACGACGACGACGACAAAGACGACGACAAAGACGACGACGACAAAGACGACGACGACGACGACGACGAGCAGCAGCAGCAACAGCAGCACCAGGACGACGCCGAGGAGGGCGGCGGCGGCGACGAGGACACCCGAGCAGCACGCGGCTCCCCCCGAGGTGGTGCCCACCACGCGGGACTGGGCGGACCTCAGGCACCCCTCCGCGTGCTCCTCCGCCCCCGCGGCGGCGGCGGCACCGCCGCCGCTCATCGCCCAGGGCCCCGCCTGGGGCGCCGTCGGCGCCTCCGGGCGGCCGCCCGCGCCGGCGCGCGCGGGGGGCGGCGGCGCAGGGCGCGGCGGGCGCCAGGCGCCGCTCGCGGCTCGCCGCTGCCGCTGCGGTCGCCGCCGTCGGCGGCGCCGTCGCCTTCGGCCGCCGTCGCCGCGGCCGTCGTCGTTGCTGCGGCCGCCGCCCGGACGCCGCCGTCGGGGGCGCCGCCGTGGTCGTCGTCGCCGTCGCCGTCGTCGCCGCTGTCGTCGCCGTGGTCGTCGTCCTCGCCCTCGTCCTCGTCCTCCTCGTCCTCCTCCTCCTCCTCGTCCTCCTCCTCCTCCTCCTCGTCCTCCTCCTCCTCGTCCTCCTCCTCCGCGCTCCTCCTCGTCATTTTCCCGTCCCTGACTCGCCCTGCCGCGTCCTGCCCGTCTGCCCGCGGTAGCTCCCGCCGCCGTGCCAGCGCGGCAGCACAGCAGGGAAGAGGCTGAGCCGAAGGCCTCCTCGGGTCTAGCGCTCTGGTGGAGCTGCTGGCACAGGTCTTCAACGCCCTCCTTGTCGGTCGCCTCCTTGCCTTCTTCCTTCATCAGTCCTTTGCCTTCTCCTCATCTTCCCCTCCGCCGCCTCCCATTTCGAACGCACCTGGTGGGCCTCTGGGGGCCCTCTTGGGGCCGGTGGGGGCCCGTTGGGCGGCCTGCCAACGCAGCAGCGCCGGGCTCTCGCGAAGAGCGGCGGCCTCAGCTCAGCGCCCAGTGTGAGCTCGCGCAGACGTTGGTACAGTCAACCCGGAGAGTAAGGACGGGCAACCTTCCCAAGGGTACCCTTGCATCCTTGCATCCTCGGTGCATCCTTGGCCACGTTCGTTGGCCGCGACCCGCTCGGAAACTTCGAAATGGGCTTCCAAGGGCCTTGCATCCTTATCGCGCATCCTTACTGTACGGGATTGACTGTACCCCCCTCTCTGGCCGCCGCCTCGATCTCCCTTTTGTGTATCATTAGTCCTCATTAGTCCCTGGTCTCCTCCGCCCGCTCACCCCTTCCCCCAGGGTCTGAGCCAGCGCGGTGCGAGTGGAACTCCACCGCGATCTCCCCGTCGCTGGCCGCGTTTTCCCCCGTCCGGGGTACAACAGGGTAGCGAGGCGGACGAGAAAGGCAGCGAGGCCTTCCATGAATGGCGGCAGCCATGGGAAGGGGCGGAAGAGGAAGGGGTGGAGGAAGAGGAGGAGGAGGAGGAGGAGGAGAACGAGGAGGAGGAGGAGGAGAAGGATGAGGACGAGGAAGAAGAAGAAGAATAATCGGAGGAGGTTGAGATAAATAAAGTGCGCCAGTGGATCTCCCTGAATACACTAAGGGGGGGGGGGGGGGGGCAGAACCCCCCCCCATCCCCCCCTGAAGGGAGGGGGGGGGTCTGGACCCCCCCCCCCTTTGCGCCCGAAAGGGAGCCGGGGAGGGGGGGCCTCTCTCGCTGCTCGTTTCTGCGCCAGAGAAGGTCTGTAGGGAGTACGGATTTGGGAGTAGGGCGTGGTGAGTGGTGGGTAGCGGGTTAGTGCGTAGTGAGTAGTGAGTATTGGGTAGTGAGTGGCGAGTGGGGAGTAGGGAGTAGGGAGTGGGGAGTAGTGAGTAGTGAATAGTGAGTAGTGTGTTTTGATAAGTGAGTAGTGAGTGGCGAGTAGTGAGTAGTGAGTAGTGAGTAGCGAGTAGTGAGTAGTGAGTACGGAGTAGGGAGTAGGGAGTAATGAGTAGTGGGTAGTGAGTAGTGGGTAGTGAGTAGTGGGTGGCAAGTAGTGATTATTGAGTAGTGAGTAGTGGGTAGTGCGTAGTGAGTAGTGAGTAGTGAGTAGTGAATAGTGAGTGGTGAGTAGTGAGTAGTGAGTAGTGAGTAGCGAGTAGTGAGTACTGAGTACTGAGTACTGAGTACTGAGT